GTGGAGGGGCCGCGTAGAGCCTCTGCCAGCCCTCTAAAGTGCCGCACGTAAAGCATTCTGGGTATCTGAGAGATAATTGCAGTTTGATAATAAAATCGGAGGTGTCTGCCTTTGTGACCACAACTTATTCTGCAATTTGATGTTTTTTTAGGTTCTAACTGAAAACAAAAGACCTCAGAGGAGGAAGCAAAGAGTTTTAAAGGTAACCGACGATCGCTTTAATATTTACCCCCTCCCGATGTAAGCAGCGTTTTCTTGTCATGTAGATTAGGACACGGAAGGGTTAATTTCTGGGAAGCTGCGCTTTCCAGCCATTCAGGAGATTAACTAATTTTAAAAGCACAGAACATGTTCTTTTTTTCCTCTTTCTCTCCAGCATGTTGTGTATGTATTTGAATCTTTCTGCACAAGTCTGCAGACCAAAAAGTTCGCTTTCCATTGCATTGAAGATTCACTTTAATTTCCTCTGTTCCTAGTTTCATGCTTCCAAAGGTAACAGCTGAATGTTGGTGGGGTTTTGAGTATACAGATTTTATTGCATCGGAAATTTAATGCGAGAAGTCAATGTTACAGTGCAAACCAAATTAACAAAAGTGGAAATTTTATGCATATGTTACTGTAGTTTTGATTTCCTTTTTTCTTTGAACTTCAGAATACCTCAAGTGAAACTGAAAATTCTGTAAACTTACAACAGCCTTCAGTTTCACATGGTGACATGTTTCTTCAGGGTTTTTAAGATGGCTATCTTTCATAGTAACAAAAGATTGGTGTTTCGAATGGAAGTGTTTTTGGTTTTATAACAAAATACAGATTTCCTATACTCATGGGCAGTGTTTTTTAAAAAACGTAACAGGTAGCACATTGATCTTGTATCTTTCAGTTAGTCTTTAGAATATTTTGAATACAAGTCAGTCATTAATTCTGTTGTTTCAAACTAACATGTTGTAGGATGGATAGTGTGAGTAAGATGATGTAAGGTGAAGCTGAGGAAAATGAGAAAAAATATGTTGCTCTGTAGAACTATTCTCTTATACCGGCTAAATGTAATACAAGATAGTTTAGTATTGTTTCGGTACATTAAAATTGCAGAAGTTACTGGACATGGTGGATTTGATAAATGCTGAATGTCTATAGTGTAATTTTGTCTGAAAACATCCCAGTTTCTCATCAGTTTTGTCTTGACTGTTACATGTTACAGAAACTTGCTTAAAGGAGCTGTAAAAAGTAAAATTAAAGTATAAGATTAAGCAAGGAACAAATAACCTTATTTGACTTGTGAGTATGTCCAGCCTCAAGGGTGTCTTGTCTTTTCACGTGGGAGTAGTTGTGCAAACCAGCTTCCTGTATGCTAACAGTAATTGTACAACACTAGCAAGTGCTTTTTTTTTCTTTCATGAAATAAATGAATCCATTTAAAAATAAGTATTTTTCATAAAGTCATGGATATGCTTCTAATTGCTCATTAAATTACTGCTGCTTTTGTAACCTAGTGCATAGGTGTAGTTAAAACTTTAGTTTTTGTTTGTTCTATGTTTTGTGTGGTTAAGTTGATAGTAGTGTTCAAAATAAGGACTGTTTGTAAATGTGTCATTCAGCTTTGTAATGTGTAATCAGTATGACACCTGTCAAAGTGTGAAAAAGCTTTTTTTTTTGTGATAGGCAGACACATTTTATTACGTGCCTTGTCTACAGTAGGGGCTCATAGTGGGTCTTCAGATTTTGCTCTTTGAGTTCATTTTACTACTGTGTCTCTGATTTGACGGTGAGGCAGGTTGCGATGTAATATGATGCTGTCACTCCTCTTGTTTCCAGAAAGCCTTCTGAAGAGGTTTTTTTCCTTGGCACTTAAATGGAAAGGCTTGTCTGTTTTTGTGCATACGTAGTATCATATGCTAGTCATTGGACTTGTGTTTATTCTGGTTTGACTTTGCTGAATTGACTCTGCAGTGTTTCCTCTTTGGTTTTAGGTACTGTTCTGTGTGTTTTGTAGTATTTGTCTTTGCTTTGTGGTGCTGAAGTGTGCTTTGTAGGAGTTTATTCTCTTGCATGCACAAAGTAAAGCATGGTACCCCTGAAGGCATCTCATGAAACAGCTAGTTTGGGGTTGATGGCGTTGTCTTTAGTTTTTTCAAGGGGAAGAGGGAGGTTTGTCAAGTTACGTTTCATATCTCTGTCAGCTGCAGTAAACTTGTAAAAAGCTACATTATTTGAAGACTTCTTTACAAGAGTTTTTTTAGAAATATGATACTCTGGTATATGACCCTCTCTAACCTGTTTTTGGTGGGACTGCCGTGTAAGGTGGTATTGTCGTATCTATTGAAGTATAACTTGAAATTCTAATTTAACATGCGGTAGTGATTGAGGGCATCTGACTTGTGGCACTTTCAAAATTTTAACAGACTATTTCCTTTTTTTTTTCTTGTGTGCATTTTGCTTCAAATAGTATTGTAAACTTTCTTAAAGAGGACTTGTAGTAGTCTATTCCAGTAATACATGGAGTTAGTATTTCTCTAATCCTCCTAAGTCTGATAGATGCACATTTATTTACTTGGAGGGCTAGTGCTCTTTCTGCTTGGGCTTCTTAGGGCCAACATATTTACAAATTTTTCTGTGCAGGGTAAAAACAAGCAATGCTTTCCTGTTGAGAACAGATTGGACAGATATGAACATTAAGACTACAAAGATACATACTATTATACTGTACCTTTTCTTTACTATTTGTCACTTCCCACACTTGTGTTTTAGTGCTCATTTCTGGTTATTACAGGGGGAGTCATTCAGGAAATATTTCTGTGCCATAAGTACTGTATTAGGTTCTCCATGTTTATTTTGAAAGAACATGTGAAATATTGATCAATTCTAGCAAGCAAATGCTCATTGAAGAATGAGTCTTTGTGAGTTCATAGTAGTGGATGCTAAGGAAGGAATATGCTCACTGTTTTTCGTACTGTTTATATTGATTATTTTCCTCAGTTAAGCAGACAATTCTTTAGTTTTATTCCTGATAATGGAAAGTCTGTATAGAAGGGATTCATACTTAAAAATTCATTCACTTGCATTCCGCAAGGCATATTATACACCCTGCTTCACTTACTATTGTTTTCTTTTTATCAGTTTAGCAGTATTCTTACTCAGTGTGGGCAGTGCAATGCACCTCTCCTTAATGATGGGGAAATGTTTGCAGTCATGTACAAGTTTATTAAGACAGAGCTCAGAAGAATGGGATAGTTGAACATGGCATTGTGTTGTCACGGAAATCTACAGTTACCAAGTATAGACAGCAGTGGCACCAGTGGGGAAACCTCCCACAAATCAAGATACAGCTGATGAAGAAGTACAGTCCGTGGTCTTTCCACTAGGTTCTGTGGAGCCAAGGCTACCATTTGGATGGCTGCAGATGTTTGCTGTGTTGGTGGAGACTGGGGGGGAGCGGGGGGGAGACCCCCCGAAAAAAAAGAAAGAAAAAAGGGGGAGGAGACTGTGGGAAAGATCCAGAATAATATATGCAGTGCTGAGTGAGTATTATAACTGCATGCACATTCTTTGTTCTCGACTGATTCTGTTTGTGTGTTTATGCATAAACACTATAATGGTAATCGTGTGTGCCAGAAAAGTGCAAATGATGCTTGCAAAACTCTGTAAAATAACGTTCGGTTTAAGCCAAGCCGAAAGCCAGAGATGACTCAGTATCTAGAACTTTTGGTTTGTTTATAAACAGCATATTAGGAACCAGTAAAAGTTTCATTTCTAAGCTACAAATATATACTTGAGCACTATCTTAATTTTTCTCCTCCACACGTACAAAATGTAGTCTTTCTTATCAAAAACAACTTTAAAATGTAAAGTTGGTTTGGCAGACCTACTGTTGCCCTTTTTGTGATGCAGTTTTAGTTTTGCTGCTTGAAGAAATTAAAACCACACCTTTTTGTCAAGCTCATATACGTGTTAACAAGAGTTAAGGAAAGTAACAGCTAACGTTCACAATAATGCTCGAGCATGGATTGAACTGCTTTTGACCATTTATTCTAAATTATGGTGTATGTTTTTAGTGCAAAATGTCTGCCAGAATATTTAGCTGGAAGAAATTAAGTTTTATTACTTTTTTTCCCCTTTAAAATAAGATACGAGCAAGTCAATGGATCGAATTGCACTACAGTGGAATTTTACAGAGGAAGAAGGCAGAATGGTGTAGTTCAAGTTGGAAAGGATGTGCAGAAAAATCTTACCTTTCTCTTTGTGTTTTTTAAAGGGACATCATCACCTTGGAACGTATTCCTTCAGTAAATACCAATTAAAATTGGTTTGGGTACTGGTTGAAAGTGTCTGCCTATTTCTTATGTGCCTTTTTGCTCCCTTGTTTTGGTAGGAAGATCCTGCTTTTGCTATGTGAATGGCCCACGCAAGTTAGTTAACTTTTATTTTTAAAAAGAAGTAAGTAACTTAGCTGTTAGTTTAAAAAAATCTAAGTATCGCTTTCTGAAAGAAACGTTCTTCTAATTTTGACTTTATTTCCAGCTGCACAAGTGTCTTCCTAAATAGAATTAAATGTTTTTTGCTCTTCATAGGCTCATGCACCTCACTTGATGTGCACATGCAGGATTATGGTTCTGATTTAGTAGCGCACTTCCACATGCAGCCTTTCCAGCCCTTCCATGTGAGTGTACTCAGGTGAACATATGAAGCACTTCCCTGTTTTGTTTGTAGAGTACTGCTAAGACTACTAATGTATGTAGACATTTTTTGAATGGAGTCCTAACAAAGAAGGCCTTTGTAAATGGTCTTTAAATAATTAATCTTACTCTATAGTAATTTTATAATCGTTAATTTTTCGAGCCAGTTTCTGGGGGACTTGAAGCCTGTGCCTTGTGGACTTTGCTGTGGTGCAGAGTGAGCTGGATAGGATGCAGAGTCACTCTCCTTCGCTTGCTCCCCTGTTCCTGCAGAACTCCCTTACATCAGTGCTGCTCCCTCTCCCGTCCACCTCCTCCTCAGGACCCTTCCACTGCTTCCCCAGCAGCACCATCATGTTACTCTTTGTTCCCACAACCCAACTCCCCAAAATGTCCAAGGAAGACTCTACCCTTTGAGAGAAGGGCAGGGAGGAGTAGGGTTTTCTGTTTTAACTCATTTGTTGCTGTAGCAGAGCAGTTGTGAGGATAGCACCACTCCTCAGGGAATGGTGGAGGCAGAGGCATAAGGAGA